GGGGGGGGGGTGTCCTATCATCACTCACCTTCCCCTCCCACGTGGCTTCAATGGGCAGGAACTGAGCGCCAACTCTCTTTAGAAAGGATGACCCGCTACCCGCTATGGTCTTGTGCCTTGGTCCCCTTCAGTTCTCCCATTACCAGCCTGGTCTGGCCACCTCAGCGTCACACAAACGTTCATGAGTAGCTGCGGAGGCCCACAGAACACCACCCCCACCCCAGGTTCTGCACACGGTAGGGACAGGGGAATGAACAGCCTTTTGTAGACAGAGCAACAGGAAGTCTTTCTCTTCAGAAGACAGTCCCAGCTTTTGCTCCCCGCACCTGCGGGCACGAGAGGCAACAGCTTCCTAACTCACCTCTCTGCGCTCAGCCACAGCAGCCACACCAGAAATCCACACCCTGCTGCTCCCAGATGAGCCTGAAACCCTTCTGCATTTCCCCTCCCAAAGGTGGGCCCACACACTCCCCTGACCATGCGACCCCTCCCCTGGGCTGCACCCCTGGGGAATGTGGTGGAACAATCCCCGTCCTTGCTTTCCTTGCCCTCTTTTGCCCACATCCTTCCCTCTGCCTGAAATGCCCCCATCTGACCTGTCACATACAGCTCCCTCCTCCCTCAAGATCCAGTTCAGGGCGTCCTGAGCCGCTAGCTGGGATGAATGCAGAAACCCCAGGACAGCGGCATCCCTGGCGGGATAACCACCAGCCAGCCCCCCTAAAGCCTCAGCTTTCCTGCTTATCAGAGGGAGGGAAGGAAGCCCCCTCCCCAGGCCTCTTCTCAGAACCTCAAGCCTAAGTGTTGTCCAAAGGTCTAACATGGACCTGTGAGGGCCTGGATCAAGCTGGGAAAGGGGGACTCAGAAACTGGTGAGCTTTGCACACGCTGTCAAGCAGGATTCCCGTCTGAAGCCTCCCATGTGCAGGGCACAGCGCAGAGGGAGGACCTCGTGTGACCGGCTCGGTCCCCTCCCCCTCAAGGTGGGCTCGCCCTCCCTCCCACACTGCCTCCAACAGCTGCCATCGTCAAAGGCTCCGGTCAGGCGGGGCGCGGCGGGGCCTGGACCCCTCCACCCCTGCTAATGTCCACAGCCTGCAGCGCCGGGGAGAGGGGCACACCGGGATGGCTGGGTCCCTGCACGACGGCGGCCGACCGGCGGCGACCCGGTCACAAAGCATCGAGTAGGACGCACAGAGGCGAGCGTCGAGGGTTAAGAAGACATTATCCGGAAACGGCTGGTTCTGCCCGCTAACATGACTTTCTCTCCCATTAGGGCGCGGGCTTCAGGTCACCTTCCCTGAGCCCCTCCTCCAGCCGGGAGACCCAGAGGCGAGGCCGGAGGTGCACACACCCCCCGTGCGAGACACGCGGCGGGCCCCCTTCTCATCCCGGCCCCTCGACAGCACCCAG